AATGAAGTCTTGAGGAAAATGAATATAAAAGTGAACTGTGTCAGACTGAAGCCATCCACGTTCCATACCCCATATCTTACTTGATCTATTTATTTATCACCCACCTGTACATAACCATGCACCTATAAATCTGCTTATTGGACTGTAAAGCCTCCACACTGCCTACTGAGTGTATTCTTTAACCCCCCACCCCCACCACCCACTTTGCTTAAAGCTAGTTTTTCTCTGCTGCTCCAGGCTAATGAACCCTGGCTGCTCTTATCTGCTCTTATAGATTTCTCAAGCTGGTCCTGCAGTGCTGCAGTCAAACATGCGAGCCAACACCTTTCCTCCTCTGTAATCCATGATGCCGAAAGAAGTCAAACTTGTAGCGATCGGGCTAATGGGGGGGATCATTAACAGTTAAAGGGTGCATTAAGTTTCGGCTACCTTATGATACCCTCCTTCCTTCCTTGATTTTAAAAGCACTAAGAAGCAAGAAGTTTGAATGTGGTGTAAAGAAAAAACAAACTTTGCTGAATACAACTTTAATTGTAAGACGAGTCAGGCGATATTTTTATGCCAAAATGACTCATATATGGCTTTTCTACTTTATTTGAGCACTGAAAGCACCTTTATGCAAAATGTCTCATTCACCTCTTCATGGTGCTTCGGACACATTAACGAACTAACAAGAATTTAGTGGACAGGTTACGGTTAAGGTCAGTGAGACCTCACAAAAGGTTTCAACTATAAACGTTAACAGGGTGTAGCCAAAAGGTTTAAGCTCAAGGCGGGACAGATTTACACGTAAACTGGAACTTGATTGGTTGTCGTCATAGACTGTTGATGAAAGATGGATGTATCCACAGTGATGTCACGCTGTGATGAAACTCTGCAGCGTTTTGGCCGCTGCCATGTTGATTCAAAACTTGGTATTAACAGGGAGCTAAATTTAGCAAGCTTAATTAACAGCAGTTAGCAGTTAACAGCTGTTATATGAGTGCAACACCCAGGAAAAGACACCTGCTACTTCGGTCAAGTAATACAACGGTCCCCCGGGCCACGGAGAGTCGTTTAGTACCGGGCTGCAAGAGTTCAGGCTCGGGTGTGAAATTCATGGTATTCGACGGTTTTATCGGTTTTTTTATCGTTATTTTCCAACTGTTTTTATCATTAACTTGGTTTCCCTGGGTCTTTTCCCGTGTGTTATGAATAAATCTTCTCTTTTTTGGTACCGGTACTGGTTTTATTCTGTTGTATTTATCCGCGACACCTTAAAGGCCGGTCCATGAAAATATTGTCGGACATAAACTGGTCCGTAGCGCAAAAACTGTTGGGGACCGCTGAAGTAACAAATACAATATTTCAGTTTCACTCACCAGGACTGCAGGAAAGAATTCCTTGGATGACACGT